TCTTTCGCCTCTCCGAAAACTAACTTTGTCCCGCAGGATTCGCATCCCCCGGAAGCCCGCTACACCATCATCGACCTGGGCCCCCTCAACGTCGCGCCCAAGGTCATCCCCCCCGCCGAGAAGCAGCTCCCGAACGAGTCGATCCAGCTGTGGTCCGGCGTCACGGAAGCCATCCACGCGAAGCAGTTCTCCAAGGCGACGACGGTCAAGGTCGAGCTCGAGGAGAACCAGCGCGAGAAGGCGCGCGAGCGGGAGCGCACCGGCGAGGTCTTCAAGCCAGTCTTCTTCGAGCAGGCCGTCGGCAACGAGGGCAAGCCGCAGCTGACCGAGAAGGGGCGCGAGGTGCTCGTCAGGGCGCAGAAGGGGGAGTGGGACTTGACTGGCATCGTGTAGGGTTACTGCTCTAGGCAAGCATCATCTAGACAGTATTTGTGTGTGTGTGTGTGTGTGTGTGTTCTCCTTTGACGGGATGCTGTGAGATTTCCCGAGGGGGCGGGGTTCGGCTGGTGCATATCACATGCTTACCATTTGCTTTTTGGGGGTTTCCGTCCGAGGGTCAGGAGAAACCGACTCGTCATCCCCTTTTTATTTATTTTTCATGTTTTAACGGCCGACGGCATGACATTACCAACATTGCACGGGTTGAGGTTGCATTCTTTTTTGGGCTGTGGTTTTTGTTTATTAGATGAGAACAGAAAGGGTGCACAGACAACATATTAGGAGAAAGACAAGGTGGACGAGAGTCTTTTTCAGGAAGACGGTAATCACCACCATTCGCTATTGGTCCGATTCAACTTGGACGGCATGGTTTTTGTGTGTGTGTTTTTGCGTTTTTGAATTGGGATGTCTGTCCGTCGTCGTCAAGCATTTCATACACGCTGCACAGCGCACACAGAGATCCCCGCGGTTCCTGAATTTTATGGCGTCGGGGAATTAGATGGTTTTACTAAGAATTGATAATAATACTCCTTTAACTGAGCTGATTTGGTGTCTTCGGACGTGATGTGCTGTGCTAGGGAATGGGTCATGAAGCGAGTGTGTTTTTGGGCTTTGGAATAGGATGAGATGGCAGGAGTTTGAGATTGTCTGGTGTGTCCAGTCTTTTCCCCACAATCAGGGTCCCATCAAGGGTTTCAATGTGAGGAACGAGATGATAGAGATGGTTCGTTTCTGTGTTTGTAATGAGGAAGTTTCGGCATGAAAGCTTGTCAGATGACGTGCTTTGAATTATCAGAGATGAATGTTGAGAGGGGTGGGTGGGTAAGGTGGTTGGTGGCTGAATGCATTGCATAGATATCGGAATGATAACGCTTTCATCATGAAGGGGGGGCTCGGCATGGTCAAGGTTCGTTGGTCTAGGGGGGGGGGGGGGGGGGGGGGGGGGGGCGATGGGATGGCGTTGGAAGTGTGTCTCTCTGTCGGATAAGTTTCTCGGATAAGGGGGAGATCTGGGGAAACGGCTGCGGAATCGGATGACGGCTTGGGCTGGGTTGGTGGTGTCAAGGTTCTTTCAGGGAGGAGAATTTCTGCCTTTGAGGTTCTTCTGGGTTGGTGGCTACGGAAGGCTTTTGGTGATATTTGGTTCGCAAAGGCTTGAAGTTAGATAGCATGGAACTGCCAGGCCATGTGTCATCACAGTGATTTGATATATTGAACACAAAAATTACTCCAAGATTTTTCTGTCTTTTCCTGCCCTTCAAATCGATGAAAATGTGGCAATGAACAAATTGACGCGGATATAACAGCCCAAGTTTCCCAGTTCACCTCGTTCGAGTTGACTTGCTGAATGTATAAGACTTGATAGCAGGGCCACGGGAAAAACATATGCTTAAATCTTGATCAGGTTCACACTTGGAGCTCCTTCATCTCATCATGCTGCTCAGAGGCCAGCAGTGTCACTCTCACCATGCTTGATCAATCTGACCCCTCAACCCTAAGTCATCACAGCTCACCGTCGGCAAAGACGGAGGGCCCCAGGCTCCCATACGAAATCTATTTGCTCATAGTGGACGCCTTCCTCGACTTTGCCTGTACCGAAATCTCTGCTCAACCGAGCTTCTGGCGTCTGAAGAGCGAACAGCAGTATGGCACCGATAGCTTTGTGTTTCCTCGCCAGATGCATCTCCCGCCGAGATTGGTGTTAACCAGCGACGGCGACCAAATCAAGTCACGCCATCGCCTGCTCCGCGGGATTTCACAAACAGACCTAGCATCGCAGAAGAAGGTCAATCAACGGTTCTCGAAGTTCCCGCACAAAGTCCTTGGGTTCGATCAAGATTGCATTGACTACCCGGGATTCGCACACGTCTGTCCCAGCGTCGACATCTTCAAGCATGAGAATGACCATGAACCTACGTACACTCGAATGGCTAGGCTGCGTTCACTATCCCAGCCCACTCCCGCTAACTCGGAACTGCTGCGGGCTATTGAGCATATCCAGTTCCACGGATGGTGTGGCCGCGACTCTGACCTCTCCAGTTATCTTTCCGCTCTGCCGAACATTCGAACCGTCAACTTCACATGGCAACCGCCACCCGATGGGCCATTTAAGGCCGGCCTCAACTTTCACGCACATAATAATCCCCCTGCGGTACCTGAGACCCACCCTGAGGAGATCGAGATCACAGAATGGTGGAAAGTCCTTCGACGATGCTCATCTGCATGGGAAAAGGGGGTTCGGCTCTTCTACAGTTATCACAAGGCCTGTGTGTGGCCTGGCTACTGGCCGTCGTATGAGCTCCTTTTCGACCCCACTCTGACGGGATTGCCTTTCCGGATCAGAAAATTTGTCGATGGCTGCGAAGACTGCTTGGATGCGTTGCCCCGCTACAGCGTTCGCGAACGTTCTGTGCGTAGGTCACAGCCATCGAGGCTTGGTCTTATTCCTGTCGTGGACGATGCTACTCCTTCAGTCACGTTGGACGATGTCTTGACCGCCATCTGCAGGATGTCACGATAATAATCCCGTTCAAGGCCACGCGAAGACGTCACACTGGGATTTGTTGGGATCAGTAATGAGAGGAAGGGACACTCGCGTATTACATTATCAACACTAGGCAGACAGTGGCATCGCCCGCCAACGCCCTTCCAAATTAACCCTTTTTTTCAGTCATGGGTTTTTGGTGAATTGGATCTCGTAGACTTTTCTTTGTGACAGCGGCGTGAAGAACCTTTGAGAAATTAGGAGAAATCTGCAAGTCGGTATTTGAGACTATTCGAGCACACTGTCGAAGAAATCGGGGGCGCTGCGCACAAATGTGGTGACAGCCAACGCATGCACAAAGTCCATCCCCGGAAGTCACTATTGGGCGTCAAAGCCTGTCTGATGACATGAAGCAAAGATTTTGTACAGCTTATCAACCAGGAACTCTTTAATACTTAGAGACATGAAACAGGCAACCCTGAATGAAAACTCTTTTCCTCCTAGAAGATTCAGGCTTGGCTTAGTAACATGGTCCGCGCCTACGCTCGCCGGACCTAGTGGAAGGTGCGAGCTCACATACCGAATGTCAGACACTTGATGTCGATGCTAACTGCTACATAAATACCTCAACTTTGGTCGATTCGATCTTTGAAAGTTACTCATCCCAACACCTTCTCGGCTGGCTAGTACACCCACCCTCACCATGGCTGATACATCTGCAGCTTTGGGTCCCCATAGCTCAATTTCAGCAAACACAGGGGTTTTCAGGGTTCCGTACGAGATCTATTTGCTCGTAGTCGATGCTTTCCTCGAATATGCTCATGCCGAAATCTCTTCCTGGCCTGCTACATGGGGACTCAACAAGAGGAAATGTTCCCAAAAGACTCTCCCTACTTTCGCCTCCACCTCTGACGGCAGACACATCAGGCTCTACCGCCTCCGCCGTCTCAGCATCATTGCTCATATAGACCGGAAGTCACGCAGCCTGGTCGATCGACGGTTCCCAAAGTTTCACTACCACATTTCAGCCGAGATTCGGTGTCGTCCTTCCGCTGCTTGCGCGCAGTTTGTGCATGTCTGTCCCACGGTGGACATGTTCCATGTGTACTGCTCCGAGTATTCACTGTCCCAGCTTGATTCCCAGAGCTTGGATATGTTTCGAGTAATCGAAAACATTCATTACCATGGCACACTTTGTCCGGGAGTTTTCACCGCTATGCCGAACCTCAAGTCTCTTACTCTCTACATTAAACCACCGGGGCTAGATGAGATGTCCATTTTCCATGAATACGACCATGACGCGATTTTACCAGCTGAGAAAATTGGGTGTATTTTCGACCGGCAGGAGTGGAAATCCATTTGCAGCTATTCGTCGAAGTGGGCGAGAGGAATTAGACTCTTCGTCAAGGGCGGGATACGTAGCTTTCGAGACCGGCCAGTTGGGGAGCTTTTGTTCGACCCACTCGCGAAAGGCCTGCCATTTCGGTTGAGGCTATCTGCCGACGACTGCGAGGAATGGGGTCATGCGTGGCCCATCTAGAACCTAGACTACCTATTATTGAAGGGGGTACGTAGTGAACAGCAACCAAAATTTCGTGGCACTGACTCTCTCTAAGCCACCATCTCACGCGCTGGGTCCTTCTCGACATGATATATGGATCAAATCCCGCCAAATGTTATCCGCAGAAAACATCACGAACAGTAGTTTTTGAACGAGCGGTATGCTGTAAACACACTGATGTACGAATCCATCATCACCAGGCCGAGAAAAATGTGAAGCATCAAAAGGCAGTGTTATTGGTGTCTCATCAGGTCATGGCTTGTATTTTCTCAGGCCTAGATTGCTCTGCCTCATGGCGTGTGTGAAAGTTGTCGACCCATTTCGTACAACCCATCTACAAAAATGCCCAAGAATAGAAGTTATCGTGTAACATGGTTTGTCGAAACTAGTTCGGCCCAGCCCATTTTCAGCTAACCAGAAAGAAGTTCGGTTGCCAAAAGCTTGTTGTGTCTGATCCCGTCATGAACAAAGCCCTTCCAGTGGCGTTTCTCGTGTGTAATGTCGAAGGTGATTGATTTAGTAGGGCTTCTCGCCGATGCTGTTGATGGTGTTAGTCACTTGTTGACGAACTCGAAGAATCATGGGATGAACTCACTAGTTGCCGGGGGGAGAGTAGCGGGCAACGACATAGGTGGCACCAGACGAGTCGGTAGCAGTGGCCATGCCGACCTTGGTGGTGGACTTCCAGACGACCTGGGTGTAGTGACCGAAGCTCATATAGTTGGTGGAGCTGATGGTCTCGCCGTTGTACTCGGACTTCTCGGAGACGAAGGCGTTGACGGCGTTGAGGTTGGGGGAGTCGCCGCCGGACTGCATGTACAGGTTCTCGCCCTGGTCGGAGACCTGGGAGTGGGTGAGGGAACCGACGGAGGTCAGGTGGGTGGCCCACTCCTGGGCGTTGGCGGCGAGGGTCTCGTCCCAGACGAGGTCGGGGGTGCCGACCTCGGCGCGGGCCTTGTTGTGGGCGTCGAGGGCCGCCTGCTGGTCGGAGGTGAGGCTGCCGGAGGAGGCGGCAGTGGTGGCGGCGGCAGCGGGAGCCGAGCTGGTGGTAGCCGGGGCGGCCTCCTCGACGACGGGGGCGGAGGTGGTGGGGACGGGGGTGGGAATCACGGCAGCCGGGGTGGTGGCGACCGGAACGGGGGTGGGCTGGATGGAACCGGAGACGGAGGTCTGGCCCTTGCCCCAGTTTCCGAAGCCGTTCCAGCTCCAGCCGTAGGCCTGGCGCTGGGGTTGCCAAGCAGCGGCGTTGGTGGCCATGGCGGCGACGACGACAGCAGAGAAACGCATCTTGATGGTTGTTTTGGGGGGTTTGTGAAATCACCGGGATTCAGCTGAAGAGCTTGGTTGTGTAATGAACGAACGGAGGATGGATCCTGCCAAAGAGCGTCGATAATAAAACCCGAAGGGTGTTGTAAAGGAATGACAGACGCGATAGGGACAACTGTACCTTGGTGAGGAGAGAGAAAAGACGAATGCAATTGAGGGCGAGATCAGGTCATGATATATACCTCGTCGAGTTTGGCAGGGCGAATCTCGTGAGGTCGGGATATTTTGCCGCTGCGCCATTAAACATGAGACGAGCGGTGATCTCCCGTATGCAAGCCCTCCACCTCAAAATGATTAAGCCGGACGCGGCGTCTCACCATACTGGCTCTCTCTTCCTCTGGAGCCCCGAGAAAGCCTTACGAATCCCTTCCACATACCCCTGGAGCGCTAATCAGAGATGGAGGGGTCATGTAGGGGGGAGAGTTCCTAGCGGCCTCCACATGGGCCAACAACAATAACAAACACGGCAGCTTCTTTTTTTTTTCTTTTTTCGCAAGTGCAAGCGAGAGGAGGGGGGATGGATCAAGGATGGGGGATCAGTCGAGGCGAGGCCCCAGGCAGCCGAGGAGAAGGAAGAGGAAGAGGAGGTCAAATCTTGGTTTGCCATGTCTGTGTGGTAGGATTCCGACCAGTGTCCAGATGAATGGTTCAACTTGACGGGGGCTAAAGCAGGTCCCATGTCTCACCACGGGGGCGAGAGAAGACGGGCAAGGGAATAGCCCTAAATTATGTCACTTTGCGTGGTTTAAGTGTTTAGTCTCGCTGCCGGTAAATGGAAGGGATCCTACGTGGGGCCGTGCAGGGCGGTCCAGGCCCGGGAAACTGACAGGACATCCCGGGGGACGCCCAAGACGCCTTCAACAGAGTCCAGAACAACCGGGGATGAAATATGTTCCGCCCGGGGTTCGTTGGATGAAGCGTTGACAGAATGGTGTTGCTCGCCTATGACCCGGGCCCCGCAATTCATTTCAGTCTCTGACACCCTCTTCCCTTGCCTCTAATTAATCCTGTTACAGAGGCCCTAGAAGCCAACCTCCGAAAGGCTGGCGTCAAGGTTTGTTTGTTATGCTGTCCACAAAGAGTGGGATAAGGCGTCAGCGCCCATGGGCTTGTGCGGCGTGCGGGGTTGCGGCCAATGAAAGCTGCCGTGATGATTCTTCTCGTTGTCGGTTTTCTTTTTCGTTTTACCCCTGAATCAGACATTAAACTACCGGCTTGCGTGGGATCGTGGAGCCTGGGCCCAGGCAGCTAAGGAATGTGGGAACGCACAGCAACAAGGCGCTCTGATGATGAGAAACTGTGTTCGTACCGAGACATGGGCATCTCAGCTTCAGAGAAGAAAGAAAGTGTCGGGCTCAAGTAGAGAGGACAAACTTCCCGAAACCAAAGCTTCTCCTGCAGAGTCCAACACGCAAACACACACACACAACTGCCATTCATCTTGCATCCAGTACTGCCCGTGTCGCCAGCTGAAAGAGCCAGCACGGGCCGCGCGGCCCCGCATTCCCGCGCCATTGAATCCGTGGTGTCGGGATTCTTGGTTGGGCTCGTGTCATGCGTGTGCAACTAAGAAGATGGGCGCCTAGACCAGTCTGTGTGCTTGTGTGGTTCATCTGATCTCTCTTCCTCCTCTCCTCGAGCTTTCGAGACCTTCGCGCGTGGGCCGCACATGTCCAGCACTCTAAATTGCCTTCTGTCGTTAGCCTCACGCTGGTGCTACGCGAGATGGGCCCTCCGATGAAGCTAGCCTCCAGAGCTCCGACCAGCCAGACCTTGGACGTTGAAACTCATATCTCGTCAAGGTGGGCCACCGAAATTGCCTAATTCGGAGGTGATGAATCTCGCGGACTGTTCCGGCAGCAGCAAAGGGCATGCATCAGCATCTTGCATCGTCTGTCCTCTTTTTCACCGCTTCGAAGACCAGCTCTAGAAATCTCCTTCTCGTCAAGCTTAAGGCTTGTCATGGATGACACGATGCTGCTAGCCGTAACACCCGGCTGAGATCAGGCAGCGGCGGGGGGCGGGATCCTCCAACCGAGGTTCCCATAGAAAGACGCTCAAGGGTCACCCCTTTTTGCGGCATGCATGGGGAAGACGGATGAGTAGAGCGGATGTTTGATGAGACTTTTGTGGCGACTCTTACGACATTCTTCAGCGTCACTTGAAGTCGAATCCCGCAACGAGTGGCAATTCCACGTCGTCTCCGCCCCCTTCCACGACGGCCCGAGTCAGGAAACCCCCACAAGTGTTCGCGTCGTGCCCATCGAAATCTTTAACCAACAGCCGTAACTTGGAAACACGAAGAGACCCGGCTAGCCATGTCTTAAGACTTTGTTCCCCCAAAGGTTGTTGATTAAACCATCCAGCTATAGAATGGGACGTCAAACGGCTCAAGTCTGTCGGCCCCAATTCTCTTCATCAACTTGTTGGCGTCGTTGCTCCAAAAGCTTGCGCCAGAATCGGACCTTTTACTTCGTCTCCAGCCACGGAATCCTTTCGGATCGGAAATGTCTGTCAGTTGACTTGGAACCCTCCGATCTTGGCGTCAAGGCGCTGTTGGTTCCCGCGGGAGCGTGCCCGTTTCCACCAAATAGCCCGCGCTATTCCTTCGGGATGGCTTCTCAAACGCCGCGGCGACCTGCAGGATTTGAGATTGGGGGCGCGCAATCAAGACGCAACTTTATGATCAACAAACGTGATAAAACGTCCGCTAAGATTATGGATGTGGTTTGTTCTCTTCTGTTAGCAAAAGAAACTCTTGTCATGAGTGCGCAATGCACACCATCTCGATCCCTGGCCCCTTCTGTTTGCTGTGCTACTTGTGGAGAAGACAGCAGATGACGTTACACCTGTGCATCTTGAAGTTGTCAAAGATGCATGCGGACTATGCTGTGCTGCGAAGGAGGAAATCACCCCGGAGACGCAACCTGTAAGAAAGGTCTCGTGGCAAGTGCAATCCTATACGAGTCTAAGTCAGATGCCCCGGCTTTTGGAGGAATCTCGCTTCGAGCGTTTGCCTTCTCCGACTGCGAGCGCAGTACTCGGTAACATCTCAAGTTCTCAAGATCTGCGCGACGCTGGGCATACCGTTGTATGCGCCTTGCCTCTGCCTCCAGGGCGATTGCTACTCAGCCTGTTATTCCCGCTCACGAAGGAAAGCCATTTGCGCAGTTTCCGCCTTCTTATCTGGCTCTAGGTATCCGGAACCTTAGGTAAATACTGCGTCTCGAAAACCACACTGGTTTTTTCGTAAGGTGAGTAACTACAATTGTCTTATTACATCCGCTTCGAATGCTGACCATAGAGAAATGCAGGCCGCCCTGACCCAGCCCCATCGGAGCAATGTTGCCGCAGACTGAGATCCCTTCCGAACAGGTTTCCGGGTGTTCGCAAGAGAACGCGCCAATCAAGTGTATCGCGATGCTCATTGCAGATCCGGATCGCTCCCGAGAATACCAAAAGTCTAGCTTGCCTAGGTTCGCCGGTGCCAGTAGTTGGGACCTGTGCGCGATCCGCGGCGATCGGGGTGAAGCCGAGATATGAGATTCCGATCGTCGTGACTTCGACGCGCGCCAAAACTTGACCAGAACGTGCTTCTCTTCGACGCATGCAACTTTACGGCAGCAGACCAATAAGGCCACAAGCGAAAGAAATGCATAGTCGTGATAAACCATTTCCAATCTCCCAATTTAGGCGGAAGTTTTCATCGAGAATAATCAACGCAATCTGCATACGGACGTGTCCGCGATAACACTTATCAGCTCATAATGTTTCCAATTGTTCTCGTCCCTGTATCTTATCAACAGTCTGCGGGGGTTTAATACAAGATCCCAACTAACTCCGTATCAAGTCATCCGTCGTTTCTTTGCCTTCTCATCCACCGTCCGACGGCACCCCAACCGCTGAACTGTCCGCTTCACAAGAGGCCATGCTCCAAGACCCGGCCGACCGAGCCTCCCGACGATGGAGTCGATCGACCAACGGATGCGTGACGTGTGTGCGGTCCAAGGTCAAGTGCTCAGAGCACCGGCCCGTATGCCAGCGATGCAGCCGCCTACAGCGGCACTGCGAATGGCGCGAACACCATGTTCCCCTTCGAGAACGAAGGCGAGGATTTGGCTCTCTCAAATCTCGCCTTCAGTACGTGCCTCCCCCAATCCTCCCGTCGCACAGCACTGCGAGCCATGCCGCCCACTTTACACCCGAAAGCGACGAAGATTCTCGCGACGGGGAGAGTAGTCTCTCAGAGACAGCAGTGGAAGCAACCGAATCGATGACCACAACTCATCTAGTTCCAAACCGCACCGCACACATAGCAGAACAAGCGGCCATGACGAATGCGAGTAGGAACGCAGTAGCGCCCACTCTGTCGATACTGAACGCTCGACACATACCCTCCCGATGCTCGATTCTCTTCGGTCCCTTGGAGCAGGATGCCCTCTACTTCTTCGAAAATGTATTCTCAAAGCTTAGTCCCAAGACATTTCTCTGGTCCAAGCTCGCCATAGTGCTTCATCATGCCTACGACGACGCTATAATTATGCACTTGCTGTTGGCTTCTTGTCTTAGTACCGTCGCTCGGGGCCATCCGGATCATCAGGTGTTGCAGGCTGCAGAATCTCATTTCAAAAGGGGCACGATAAGTTTTGTCGACAGAACGCAAGAGCATTCATACAGCCACGCGCAAACCTTTATGGTCTTTTGGTTGCTACAGATGACGTACCGTGCCATTTGGGACGACAGGTCTCGTTCGGCCATGCAGAATCTAAGCACCGCGTTAGTCGACTATGTTCACAGACATCACATTCTCGAACTCTTCAGTTCCAGTAGGGGCCTCTTTGAGAGTCCCAGTGGTAGTGCCTCTTCTGAAGGGGACTTCACCGCAGATTCATCGTCTCTCAATCCGGTAGTAATAGCGAAGAAGAGTCTCTTCGCTAGTCTCCTGCTCTTCACAGCGTACGAGGACCTAGACTCTGAATTTTGTGGTTCCGGAGGACAATTTGCTGAACTGATACTTTCTGGCAATGACACATCACGCTCTCTGTTTGCCTGTTCTCGTAACATTCATGCTGACTTCTTCGGGTCCTCCTATCCATGGGAGGAACTGATGGACGATGTGGAGAGGTCTAGGCCACTGGAACTTCACTTTTTCGCAAACATCTGTCTTAATCGACTAAATCGAGCTCATGCGTGTGGCATTGACGTCGAGGAGCTACAAGAAATAGAAGCTAATCTGCATACGTTACGAGAGGTCAGAATACAGCCTTTCACATGTCCCACTTGGCTTCCCGCAGATTGCATCGGCTGACTTCGAATGCCCTCTTCTGGGCTGCAATAGAATTACTCTGCCATTTTCCAGCTGCCAGAAGCTCCGTATTCAGCCGGGAGAAAGTTGATTGCAACCTCATACAGCATAGTAGCACATTTTAATGCTGTTCTAGTTTGTGTTCTGGTTGCCATGGCTTCTATTGCCACGTCCGAATCACTCCAGCGAGATCTTACCGTCGCTAAAGACAATCTTCGCGTGATTTTCCGGATGATAACACACAGTGCGGATCATTCAGTCATGTGGAGGAATCAGTGGGCAGTGTTCGTAATGGCGAGAGAAACCGACGACGAAATTCATCGAGATTGGCTGCTGCAAAAGCTTGGGAATGGCGCCTACGCGGCGGCATTGAATAATAGCAGTGCGCAAAATTTCAACCTCTCGGCCTCAAGAGATGATTAGTTCTCTTCTTTGGAAATATCGCTCAAAGGAGACGCTTTTCTACCAGCCACGTCATCTTCCCGCACGTCAATTGTCAAGATATTGAGCCCATATGTTTTATCACCCTGCTTCTTGTAAGCGTATTACTTCTGTTTGGCTTAGAATTATTGAGAAAATATCCGCGAACTATGTCAGACGCGCTTTGATCCGTCGTCTTTTACTCATTTTACAAGGCAAGTTTCTAACTTTTTCGATTCTCTGCACCCGACCAAGTCAACTTGAACGTGGCAATCCCAGTCATTGCACTCCTGGAGCTCAAGAGGGTCTCCCGTGTGTATTTTGTTCTACGGCCCACATGTGCTTTCGATCGGGGCGCGGTTATCATTACATGGAGATGGTGGTTCTAGGAGAGAAATACTATGAATCGCGGCTGAGCTTCCGAGTTTGCCCTTGAAAGGGGTATTTGCTCAAGTGCTCTCAACCGGGAGAGCTTCCGGTCTCTAATGAGTCAGCTACCTAGGCGATCCCCACCTTGAGTCATGGTCCCGGGTAAGTGGGAAAGCAGAATAGAATATTTTAGCATTCGGCCTTCGAGTAAGTGTTGTGGTGAGGAATGTAAACATGTCTGCCATTACCGTACAGACGTCAGGCAGCGCTCGTCAGCAGTAGCATCGAAGAGTAAAAGGAGTCTCACGGGCGATTTTATCGTAAAAAATTTGTTACAAATGCTGAAATTTCTGTTCGTGGATGAAGATGAATGAAGCTGTGCTCATGGATGATTGGAGTGTTGTGTTATATTCGGTTGCTGAGTTTGGAAGTTGTTTGCGGGTGGCTATGCTGGCTTTAGGAGGGAGATCATCAAGGTAACGCAGTAATTCATAAATGATGCCGATCAGGAGAAAGAGTGACGATTGGTGAGAGCCTAAGTGAGAGATGGATCGCCTGGCCGGCACAGGTGGGATACTTGTACTACACACCGCTGGTAAAGAGAAACTATCCCGCCGGCTCCTTTAGCGATGAATACTGCGTATGTTACCTTATGCTTTCGGTCTACCCCGAAATAACGAGTTGTACAGACATTTTTTGTCCCCTGGAACCGGCTTGCATGCCTTAAAGGTCGCGCGCTCGCATCAAATGGCAGCACTCTCTTCGAACTTCGTGTCTCTTTATGGAAAAGTTTTCTTCTACTCTTCAACATTTGTAAAATCTTCAAGATGAAGTACGGTCACATCATCATCCTCGCTGTTAGCCTAGTTGCGCCGGCAATGGCAGACTGGTGCAACTACGGCACCAGCAACCCAGCCCCTCAGGGCCAAGACTGTGGCCCAGTAAGAAAACTTCACTGACACGATGCGTTTGAGAGTCATAGCTAATGAGCTCTTTCCTCTAGGGTTACTATTTCTACTGCGTATGATTCCAGATCTCTCTTGGAACGAGTTTAGAGTAACTTGTCTCACTAATGCAAACTTCCAGTGTGGTGACCAACCCTCTGATGATCGCCCAATTTGGCGTGAGGACTGTTCAACTCCTCCCTCTCACGATGGTTGCGGTGCTGGGGCTGTAAGTAAACCCGCAGACGACGCTTTCAAAGATTGATACTAACTACTTTCTTCAGGTGGTTTCATGCGTATGGCAAATCTCCGATCCCCGAAATGATCATTTTCCTCTCGTGCGCTTAACTAACATCCCGGTCTAATTAGTGTTCCTAGAGTGGCGGTGTTGTTACTGTATTCAATGGCATGGTGGGGAGGTTAGAGGTTTTGGGACAAGTCTGCCGAAGAACACATGGCTTGAAAATCCGTAGGCCAAGGGTAGTTACTTTACCGTATGAGCTTTGCTAGTCGGGCAGTGTCATTTGACTATCCAGGCAGTATCCACACACACACATTTATAATCCGTAGCCTGTTTCTAAAGCAACTATATTTCCTAATTTCGCCTTCATTATCGTCAATATTTATTATCGTCGTCTACTGTTTTTATCGTTATCGTTATCATCATTATTATCTTTCGTTATTATCCTTATTATAACTACTATTATTCTCTCTATAATTCCAGATTACAGGGGACACTGCCCGGATAAGAAAATGACAATGCCCGACTAGCAAAACTCTATCGTATTGAAGTTTCCTCTAGTCTTTCAAGATTTACCTTATGAGTACCATCATACCATGGGTCCATCTGCCCATGTTTCATACTAGTGCCCCAGTTCAGTTGTCTTCATTTATTTTCTCAGCACAGCCGAGTGAAGAAGATTCATGGTTGGAGGTGGAAAGATTTGTCTCTTTGTTCTGGCGCTAACATACATCCATGGCTGCCAGCCTCTAAATCTGTCCAACTCAACACCAAGACTCAAAGTCCCAGTTACCAGGAAATTTGAGTTTTCTTTCCCAGTTGTTCTCCTTTGAAATAAATTAGAAAGGCTACAGGAGCGACAACCACCCCGATTACAGCCAAGATGGTGTTGCCTATACCATCACCCAATGCCTGATACATCCTGCCACCACATAACGGAAGTAGGCCACCTCCCAAGCTTCTTAGCACAGTGCTCGCCGCCGTGGCACTCGCTGCGTACTCGGTGAAAGCATCTACCAGGTACGCATTAACAGGAACGAAGATGAGGATTGTACCAAAGCCAATTAGGAGCATGCCGAACAGTGGTGCAATCCAGTGCACGTTACGTTCCAGTGTCCACCCGTACAGGAGCAGTCCGGCCGGAACAAGAAGGCTACCAGGAAGTAGCGGGGGAAGTCTGTATTCCGGCTTCGTGGTTCCGGATTTCGCGGCGCCCCGCTTAACGATCCGATCTGAAATTACGCTCAAGACGATATTTCCAGAAACGTTGCCAATCCCGAATGCCAAGTACGTAAGTCCTACGTTTCTTTCGTCAAACGTATCGTAACGTTCGACAAAGGTTGAGCTCATAGTTGTGAACATGATGTAGATATAGCCGTAATTGATCGCTGCAAGCACTGAAAGAAAGAACACAATTGGCGACAAAAAGAGTAACTTGAAGGGTCGAATGATAGCGCTCGTAAATGTCTTCAGATGAGGTTGCGAGGAGGAATCAAACGCGTTGCCAGGTCCAAGGGCTTCTGTCGCCTTCTTCTGGGTTCGAGCATTGCGCTTCAAAAGTGTTGGGAGGTGAGACTCCCTCAGGAACGCTGCAGTCGCAACGAGAATCGCTGCCATCTACAAACAATTGTCAGTAATTCTCCCCACAAGAATGAAAGCCAATGTCGAGAAACCTAGACTCACCGCTATCGCGAGAAACCAGAAGTTCCATCTCCAGCCCATTGCAGCCGCCAGGTAGCTCCCGACGAGAGGTCCGATGGCCGGGCCTAGTAGGACGGGAAGGTTCCAGAGAGCGAGAGCCTTCCCTCGCTCTTCTGTTTTGAAGATATCAGCTACACTCGCAGGACCAAGGGCCAAAGGGCTTGATCCCACGAGGCCAGTGACGAACCGGAAGATGATCAGCATCGGCAAGTTTACTGACAGCGCGCATGCTACGTTGCTAATGATGAACAACACTGAGTTGACGTGATAAATAATAAGTCTCCCATACATCTCGCTTAGCGGCGCGTGCACGAGGGGCCCAAAGGTCATGCGATGTACAGAAATATTGAGATTATAAGAGAATGCCTGGGTTTCAACCCATTATCCTGCTAGGGATTCTGACTTGTAGCTAAAATATACATGACACACCCTGATGCACAGCCAATAACCATAATTGAGCCCCTTATGGCTGACGCTGTTGGTCTATGCTCATTAGAGAGCCAGATAATCTTCTTCTCCCCTTCCGTAATCCAAGTGCGGTGGGGACTAATACCAAGTCCACGGATTGCTGAAGACGATGACGTCTCTCCACGAGGGTATAGTTCGGCTGTTAAAGACCCTGTAACTACGTCTACAGCGCCGAAATCAGTGAGGAGTCGATTTCTAGAACATATGTCGAATGCGAGATTATGCGTGAAACCCTTGAGCGTCTGCTGGGGCGCGCCTGTGGCTGCATCCCAGAGCTGGACGGTCTTGTCACCCGATGCCGACGCCACTATGTCGCTCAGGTGCGGCCAGATCACCCGCCGCCTTAAGGTGGTATGAGGAGCGCGAGCAAGGTGAGCAGGGTGAGTTAGTACAGGATCTCAACTCACGGGCAACGGCGTGTTAGTGTCTGTTACCAGGAAGATGTTTACAGATAACAGTTGGACGATGTATGCTACATTGGTGGCTTGCGTTAGCTTGTTTCAGGCTACCCATCCATCCATCCATCCATCCATCCATCCATCCATCCATCCATCCATCCATCCATCCACCTATCCATCATGTCTTACTATATAAGACAACTAGGGGAATATTTGAAAACAATTTACCCTTAACTAGTCAAAACAGCAACCATGACGGACCTGGCAGTCCAATGGGCCGGATTACATTGTAGGATAACAGCTACTCCCTACTTTATACTCTCTGCTTTTCATGATGTCCTCGTTTGTTGCGGACGGCTTGTCGATGCTCCGCCTCAATTTTCAGAAACCTTCACTCTCCAGAAGCTAGTCCAGATGGTAGGCCGGAGAGTTCACACGTATACTGGAAATCCTTGTCACAATGAGCCTGAGAAAAAAGACCAGCTATGCACAGTAGAGTTGTTTCACCACATACTCAACTCTATCGCCTCTGGTGTCCTCACTTATAGAGACGCAACTCGGAGCATCATAGATGACCTACGTTCCTGTGTGGTGTTCCTTGGTCTTGAAACCGCCAAGTTTACTATAGGGGACTTCAAATCAGATAGTTGGTTGAGCAGCCTTCGATCTGTTGGCCTTTGGCCGGACGAGGCACTGGTACGTTGCCCAGCAATCCGAAATGGTCAGAGCTGATACCACCATTTAGGCAGAGGTGCCTTGGAGATTGACGACTAATTTGAAGATTACGCAAATTCAAGATCTCTGCGGCTTCATTAGCGATACCTATGAATTATGGGAGCCCATGGAAATGTACTCTCTCCATGATACTCAAGCGGTCGTCGTCTGGTACGCAGTTAGTTTTTCCGTCGACTTGGACGTAGGGAAGTGGGACGGCATGTGCATAGATATAAGTACTCTGACATTGTTTCGGACCTGCTCAATGCACGCGCAGCAACCAGGCCAGCTCATTTTTGCGATTCTGGCAATCTTTTCATATTATCGAATCTCATCATCATCATCATCAGGAGCCACTGGGCCCTCGCAGTTCGGGCCTAAACTGGCCTCTCGTGGGAAAGGGTCCATCATTACGGATGTCAACGATCTCTTGGAGGGCAACATCCCAGCGTCATCGTCGTCGATGTAGATGGCTAGCCAGGAGTAGATGGCGATGTGTAGTTTTACGGGAAAGGGATGAGTGGGATAGTAGGCCTGGACGTATGTGGTTAGTTGTGTGAGTCTGAGTAAATGTCGAACCCTGAGCGACCACTGCTGGAGTCAAAGAGGCAGAAAGAAAACATACACAAGCGAGAGTGAGGCCGACATCGAAGTACCGCTGCGCATATTCAGACTCGTACGGCGCTCCTGAAGTGGCGGCATATTCGAGCATCGCAGCTTCGAGGGCTGGCCGTGTGTTAGGATGCTGAGGGGCTTGGTATTTGAGGTCGCGGACGAGTTTGGAGAAAATGGCGCCCAATTTGGGGTTTGCCGTTCCAAGAGCCCTGCTCTCATTAGAAAGTGCCATTTTTGAAGCTGAGCTTGGACTGTCGTGTTGAACAAATGCGTTCTTACAACTTCAAAAAGCAAACATGATCAGATGTACATTACGAATGGCGTGGTTTTAATAACTATCTTCATCAACACTACGTGACTCATGAGCATTTCTGATTTTAGATCCTTTGATAACACGCCGCGGACCGCGGCCTTTCGCCCGTGCTCGTTACCGGAGGATTTGTTTCATTTTTTCCCAGGAGACTTGAAGTCAGATCACGATGTTACGTAGCCAATTGGCTTACACGGCCCCGCACCAAGTCCGGGTACGCCTTTAGTTGCCTGTATTATCGCTATTGGCTAATTCAGGCGTCTTCATCCATGGATCTGGAGACCTGGTCTTATCTCATGTTTGCCACCTTATGGAGCTGGCCCCCCTGCTAACTGGGTCGTCGCTTACTGCCTTGTTAACTTAGCACGTTGTGTGTTGTGAACCCTTGTACAGAGTATCATGATCCTAAGCTAATGCGTCGTCGCCGTTGGCTAGGTACATGCTTCGACTTCAACATATCAACCGCCCTCGGCCCGAACGGGCCGCAGCTCGCCTCTTTCTTTTTCCGTAACGTTTTCGCTTGGTGCATTATTGCTAGCTGCGCCGCCTTATCTGCATGGCACTGAGGCGGATCTTGGCGCTGTTTCTTGCCTAGGTCGCCTTGTTTCTTGCCTAGTTGCTTACCCCCTTGTCGCTTATTCCCCTGCTGCTCACTGCATCTGATCATCTCTCCACACCCAGGCGGATCTTGTCTCCATTCACTGCAGCTTCTTCGGTCACTGCCATGACTGCGTCGTAAGTCGTCAATCGCTCCGCCAAGTCGTCATTGTCGAATAGCAGTGCAGATGTTATGAGTGAATTCCGTTCGTCCTTATCTTGGTACTCACTTTCCACCTCTCCGGCATGGCCATGCGGCTCTCTTTGCCGATCACTGCAACGTCGCGCTTACATGTCCTCTGTCTCGGGTCCGAAGCCATCGATCCACCTATGTATCGCTCTGCCCGCCGTAAATCGGCGCTTACACGAGAACGAGTTAACTCCGCTGCCGCCAGACAAGCTTTCTGCAGCGGAGGCGGCCGCGCGCGAGGATGACAAGGTTGTCGACAACTACCATTCCGTTCTCGGCTAAGCGATAGTTTCAGTCTTGCCTTGATATGCGCGGTCCAGCCCGGACTCGTGGCCGTCCTTTCGGGTTCGGGATTTCCTTTGAGTTTATGCCGACGTTTTCTTACCGGATTTTATTGAATATGGCAGGAGTTGCCTGTGGGGGCAGTACGAGTCAACAACTCTGCTTAAGACTCTTGTCAGACCTGCATCAAATGTAACGGCAAGCACGGCCAGATTGAGCGGGGAGTTGACCAGGCGAAGCCGGTGAATACGTGTAGGTGTCTTGGAAGGATTCTAGACCGGCGATTTGTCTCAATTCAGCAGTTATTGGTGTTGCTGCCTGGCTATGTGGCGCCTTGCCCAACGTATGTTGCCAAGTGACATATGATATTGCGATACAACGCTGAGGAAAACTTAAAAATCACAGCCCACATAGGAATAGGCCGGCGGTAAAGGACATCGGCGGATGTACAGGAAGGCAGTTTCCAGAACCGCGGTCATGTTGAGGACGTAGCATCCAGGAAGAGGTATCATCCAGTAAGATGGTACGCATTACGATAAACGTGGTAACAGCGATTCAGCTAGTGCTTGGTCAACCGCAATTATAAAGTGACGTCCGTCCTCCTTGGTTGACACTCGAAGCAAACAAAAGGTACCACTCGAACACAACGCTGCGTCACGATGGACATCATGGACATCATGGACATCAAGGACATCAAGGCCATCATCAACCAGGCACCTGTGCCAGGATATGTCCTGCTTCCCGTCGGGGCCTTAGTGCTCTTTGTTGCCTTCAAGGTGGTCTACAACGTATACTTCCATCCCTTGCGCAAGTTCCCTGGCCCTTTGGCAAACAAGCTCAGCATCGTATGTACCATCCTTCTAGGCTCTTTCTGCTCGCATCACTGACATTGGTAGATCCCCTATTTGTGGTCAGTGTTCAAAGGAAAGCAATCCTATGAGCTACTCAGACTCCATAGCAAATATGGTGAGTGCCTGATCATCACCATAGCACAACCACCGCCAGCACTGATGACTGACCGTTGATATCCAGGCCATGTCGTCCGTTACAGACCAAACGAACTCAGCTTCAGCTCAGCCAAGGCGTGGAAAGACATATATGGCCCTCGCTCAGGCTATCAACCCTTCACTAAGGGCCCTTAGTATGACAGTCTAAGCATCTACGCCGCCTAAGATATTCGCTCCATCATCACCAAGCGCGACCCCATTAAGCACGCCGCGATGAGCCGCCTATACGGCGGCGTCTTCTCGCGCGGTTTCCTGAACGAGATGGAGCCTATAATCATCGACTATATTAACCGCTTCGTCAACTACGTCCGCTCTAAGACGGCCGACAGCGGCACTATGGACCTAACCCTCAGCTACAGCTCCATAACGTTCGACATCATCAGCGACCTAGCCTTTAGGTAGGACTTTAGCGCTATCAGTTTGGAGGAGCCCCACAAGTTCATCTGCAAACTTAACGAATCTTTGGGCTTCACTAGTTTTATGGAGGCGGTCAAGCGCTTCCCGCCTCTGGGGCCTATCGGCTGCATCCTCTTCCAGAGCTAAGTCGAGAAGCTTGAAGGCATCGCGCGCAAGGGCGGGGACTTTGCTCTCGATGTTATGAAGAAGTGCGTCGCAGAGCAGGACACCACCACACGCAAGGACTTCCTGACCAAGGTGCTGCAGCAGCACGCCAAGTCCAAGATAGACATCTTGGAGATCCAGCTGGCCGCGCAGTCGTAGGACTTCATCAGCGCAGGCAATAAGACGACGGCGGCCGTGATGACGTCCACTACTTACTACTTGCTGAAGGATAGGGAGCTTCTAGCCTGCGTCACAGCCGAGGTGCGCGCTGCTTTCCGCACCAGTGCTGAGATTACAAATGCGTCCGCCGAGAAACTGGAGCTCCTCTATCGCGTGTGCCTTGAGGGCTTGCGTCTCCCCACGGGAGCGCCGCCCATCTTGCCGCGCTTGGTACCCCGAGGCGGCAACACTGTTGACGGATATTTCCTTCCCGGCGGCACCCCGGTGACCATCGCCCCCATGGTCGCAGGGCTCCACCCCGATAACTTCAAGGACCCAATAGTGTTTAATCCAGATCGGTGGTTAGGCAAGGGAGGGGACATCTTAGAGGCGAGTCAGCCCTTTTCGCTTGGTGCCCGCGGGTGCGGAGGAAAGCCGTAAGTTGCAAAACCCCCCTGAGCTACCCATACAAAGGAAGTCAGACTAACGCCGTGTTATCACAATCTTAGTATCGCGTGGATGGAAGTGCGTGTGACATTAGCCAAGATGCTCTGGACCTTCGACATGGAACTGGAGAACCCCGAGTTGGACTGGATCGGGAAGGATTTCGACAACCTGCCGCAGTACGCTTTGTGGGTCAGGCAAAACTTGCACATCAAGGCCCGAGTGGCTAAGCACTAGGGCCGCCTTCGTTGCAGCTCAGTCGAGGGCGCTGAGAGTCAGTTGTATTCCTGGTCAAGTCCGGCGAGGCGACGGAGCGAAATGAAGTTGGGTTGGTTATTGAATGTTTTGAATATGGGTTGATGTCTAGTTTAGAATGTGGAACCTCGGGTTACTCTGGTCACTACATAGGTAAGGGGTTGAATTCCGAACTTTATGTATGCAGAGGCAGTGCAACGCTAGAAGTGACTGGCTGTACGAAAAGTGACAAACATGTAACTTTATTCAGCCTCATAGATGCGAATCAGTTGTTCGTGTTAACTCAACTTCTTCATAGCAGATTTAGCATCTTGTTGTAGTTAATTGTCTGTAGTTTGGATGAACGTCAAATTTGCTGCTTGTTTCAGACATCTCGAAACCTGGGACGCAGCTCAAGCCCCCAAATGCATCTATCAAGAGTGGCAAGAACACCCCACCCTCTAGATTGTAAGTCTATCACTGCAATCCATCCTTACAGAACTACGGCGGCTGGTTGTACAACGTAATAGCGTCGAAGTCTGGATCTCTACGTTCAGATGAATACATGCCGCGTTGCCGCCACACCTGAACCCGGGGAAACAGAATATGGTGTGATCTGAACACGTATCATACCTCTTTCTTGTCACGCTGCCGCTGATACCGACTGTGAGCCCGATGCTCAAGTGAGGGAAGTTTCGAATCAGGTCTTGACCTATGATTGCCTTCGTGACTGGTCCATGGCTTCAATCAGGCAATGCAACGACGACGACATTATGCTTGCAAACTCGACTACGAGCAGCTTCTCAGGCTTATTATGATCTGGAAAGCTGGCTCATGCGACAGGCTCAGTCTCAACAGCGCATGTGGTGAACAAGTTTTAAAAAGAAAAAGAAAAAGAAAGAAAAGAAAGGCCCATCCTCAACAGACAATAAAGCTTCACGACGTCAATCACGAGCACCCGCTAGAGCCAGTGACCACGGAAATCGTTCCTCCAGCGACCTTCCTCTCCCTCCACAAGCGCAGAATGCGCTTCCCCTCCGGCTCTTGCTTCTCTTCATCCTCAACCTTTTCCTACTTCCCAGATTCAGTACGCCTCCATAACCAACCCCTCCCTCGCGAAGTCCGTCGGGGTCTCCTTTGCCGCCTCCTCCTCGTACCTTCTCTCCCTGCTAGCCTTCTCCTCAGCCTCAAACTGAGCCTGTGCCTCCATGGACTCCTCCAGTACGCGCCAGACTTCCAACCGCTTTCCGGACGCGTTGCGTTCCCAGAGAGACTCTGTTTCAAGAATGGATCTCTTCTTGTGCTCTGCGTCGTCCTGGACTCTCTTCTTCTTCTGCTTCTGGAATGGGCAGTCATGAGGTCCCTTTTCGCACCCTGGTTCGCTGGATAGTCTGCCGCAGCATTGGAAGCGTAGCTTCTTGCCGTCCTGGGGTTCCCATTCCCAGGATCCAGATTCTACAATGGGAAGACCACACTTGGCTAGCGACTGCCAGGTAGGTACTTGTCTTTTCTTGCTGACAAATTCAACTGGGTCTTTCTAAACACTGGCGCCAACGGCGAAATTAATAAGCAATACATGCCTCTCTCCCGCGCCCTTCAGACAACATTCACTTGAGAATGAAGCAATAGATCTATGAACCCGTCTCCGAGGACAACGTTGATCCGTCATCAACTGCACATGCAAATAAGAGCAGGGTCTTCGAGACGCGAAGATAGAAGATGGATATTCATCTCGATCGCGCGATCATCCGTCGCCGTCATATCAAAAACAGCCCTAGTATACATCGACATTCTGCATCTCGTAGATATGGAAGCTTAGTTTACCATGCCAGAAAGAAAGTTGGTCGCATTTCGCTGTGCCGACTACGGCGGCCTCTGGGGCCGCCTTGGCGGTGGCATTGGCGGTGGCCTTGGTACCGCGGGCATGCACGCTGATAGGGGAAAAGATTCCGACTTGCGGAGTTGGGCTGTCGAGGGGCTTCTGAGAGTTGATCTGTACGGGTTCGGACCGTTGAGGGGATAATTCTGTGACCGATGTGTGCGTGGAAGGGCACCTAGGTATGGAGGATATTGTTCGAGAAGTGGAAGGACAGCAAGAGAAGTATTTGGAGCATTGTGTTAGCAATACATCAGAAGCTAAAGGCTTTCAGAAGCAGCTTGACATGGCGTGAAGTGATACCCTCTTTCTCAACCAAAATGTGAGTTTTGTTGGGTGATAGCCCCCCGGTTGTCAAGAGACAAAATCCAGCTATATTTGCTCTGATAAACTATAATATGATGAATCGCATCCCGTAGTGATACGGATAGCCGATGGGGCAATGCGCTGCATTTATGCAATCAACAGACCGTTTTAGACGTTGATCGCAGCCAAATTCTTGCATGTACTAGTGATACGAATCTTGGCCCGGTTTTGAAACTGGTTCGTTGCCCAGTGTGATCTGTAGAACGCGTGGGCATTGTTGCCGGATTGAAGGCTGAGTGAAAGTATTGTCAATATACTTCCGTTCAAAAGTCGAAGGTGGTTTACGAAGAGGATGGAGGATGAGGGCAGATGCACGCGAGGAAGAAAATGCTTACCGGGAGATTGCCTCTCTGTATTGGTCATCGAAAGAAGTCCGCGAGCGTTGCACCATTGACTTCAAGACGGTTTCGATGTACAGTTTCCATTCGTTCTGGAGATTTGGGATGGTGACCGTGTTGCCACTCTGGGCATACCAGTTGTCGAAATGTCCGAGTGCCGTGTGGATATTTTCGTAAGTGCCGCAATACATGGACCAAATCGTCGGGTTGTTCATGTATTCGAAAACCAGGCCTACTAGCGGTCAGGACCTTGGGGAACATCAAACTCAAGGGATGAGGGGAACGAAAACGATTGGAAATCGCACCGCTGGTTGAATCCGTGCGATGGATGCGCGTCCTCGCCCGACATGGAAGACTTACCCAACTCTTTCGTAGCTTGCAACTGGGCGTCCATGCTCATCTTCTTGAACTCTTTTATGTCGGTGCACTGTTTCCCACTGAAAATCTGAAGTCCATAGCGTCAGAGTTGAGATCACGTCTATTGTACAAGGCCTTTTAGTGGCGGAGAAGGGGAGGACTTACCCGGCCTTTCATCATGTTGGGCCTGCTTTTGTAAATGGCCAGGCGGTCCTTGTGAGCTTCGTTACCCAGCTCTGACGTCAACAGATCAATGAAGCCCACTACTTTGCCATTGGAGTCGGTCCATGGCGAAGTAGAAGATTCGTCGAACATGGTCTTTTCAATGATGGCGCAGGGCATCTTGGGGGTAGGGTTGGAAGGAGGGGGCATTTGCCCGGGGATATAACCCTTGTCTAACCACGAGTTGAAAAATTGACTGATGGTCTGCCCTTCGAAGACATGCTCAGCTGCGCGGAGGTCTAGATCAGTTGCCCGCCGCCGCAAAAGGGATGGTAACTCGAGAGAACTCACTGTTGTATGGCGATCTGATGAGCACGCCGTTAACCAACTCGGTGTCCGCCTGGGCCAGCCTGGTTACCGACCAGTCCGAGCATGATGCCGACGAATTTCCCCAGTATTTCGAAATGCTGTCCCACCTGCCGTTCTGTATTCCGTCCCAAGGATTCGCTGCGGGTCTCGGAAAGGCTGGGTACATGAATTGACCCGCTGTCTCCCAGGCTTGTTTGCATATTGTCATGTCTTTGCTCATCATGGTGGCTTCGCCGGCTTTGCGCTTGTCGAGCAGCGCAAAGTCGCCGTTGTTCTCCGGATCCGACGTCGTGTTATCCAGGGCATCTCTTTTGGCATTGGGCACGGTGCCGGGCCAGCTCTCACGTGGTTCGGGCTTGTCGCACTCGGGGCAGGACGGCATGTCCCTGTCCCAGTAGACGACGTTCATGTTCTCGCAACCGCAGCACTTTCCGGAATTCTCGTTTCCGCCGGTGCTGCTGCTACCGCAGCTCAAGCAGTTCGTACACGAGAAAGCCGATTTGCCCGAGAAATCGTCGCCCATGTCCCCAGGAAGGTACTCCGTGGGATCGACGTTGCTGCCAGAATTGTAGTTCCATCCTGGCATCACTCCGGCGGCGGGAGACGCGACGGGATAGCACACCTTGCCGTCACTTGGACCTTGCTATGAGGGGTCAGCATCTGTCAAGCAACCAGTCGAGCAACACATACGCTGTCACTGGCAACCTGCACCAAGCTTGATGTTTCGTCCCATCCAACGCTGCCCCTGTGAAACTGGTGAGCTTTGTACTTCAAAGCGAAGGAACAGACTTACGCATTCTTGACACTTTGGTAGACTCCGGTACTATGGTTCTGTAAGATACAAGGCTCTAGAATGCGATTAGAGGAGAACTTACGCGATTTTGTAATCGGTGCATGCTGTTGAGCCCCCGCTGCCGGGGAAGAAGGTGAACTCTGCCATGGTGCCATAATTCAAAATCATCTACAGTAAGACGTCGTCAGATTGTGGTAAGTTTCTTCAACAATTCAAACTAACCTCTGGAAGATCAACTGTCCAACCGCTGCCGAGGCCGCGTCCCAGGTTTGCAAACTGGATCTTCATACCAAATTTGATGTAGGTTCCGAGAGCAAGTCTTCCACCGTTGCCGGTACTACTGTAAAGGACATTTTCGTCGGGGATGGAAATCTGGTTCTTCAGTCGATCACTATCCCTGATCCTCAACCTGTCTTCTTTGGTTGGGGGAAAATAGGCGTTGAAGTCACCAAAGTCCGACTTGACCCTCGTGCTGAGCTGGCCGTTGAAATAAGGCCCACTGGGACTCATGCTACCGCCTCCAGTCTCGTTGAAAGATGCGATTTGATGGTCGACTGTGTAGTAAGGGGAAAGAGAAATGTAGGCGCCCGAGTCTCCGGCTTCGATGAGGTGAGGCTGGTGGTTGACGGGCTTGTTGCTCGTGAGCGCCGGGTTTCCTTTCTTGGTCTTGTCGAGATCAACTACCCCGACTCCACCGGCAGTGAAGGTCAAGTCCGTACTGCCCTTCACCGTCAGGAAGCCGCTGGCTTGGTCGACCTTGAGAGACCCCTGGTCCATTGTTGCCTGTGTGGCATATCGTCAGTCTTTGCTTCGAATTTGAGGGCGGGCGATGCAAGCGGCCTACAATCATCGAGAACCCGTAGTAAAACCTTGCGTCGAGGGTTCCTTCAACATGCGCAGCAAAGCCCTGGTCAAACTCCTTGCTGTTGACGAGACAGTCGTCGACGGAATCCCAAATCAGAGGAGAACTCAAATCTTCTTTGATCGGGTACGCGTCCTCGTAAATGTCCATCTCCTGCGACTTGGTGAACATCTCCCGCCAGTCAGCCGTCGTCGGGGCATGGTATCTCTTTTGACTACCACTCTGCACACCTGGGGAGTTGACGGCGTAGTTCCAGTATCCTCTGATGTTGGAGTAATCCATTCTGACTCTGGTGTTGCTTGTGTCCCTGCGGGCATTGCTCAGGTTGAAATCGAAAGTTAGAGTGTAGACATCAGACGTGAGACTTCTCCCGGAAAGGCCGACAGGAATACTCTGATCTGCGATCGGCAGATTAGCTCGACTGACGACAAAATGTGTATGAAGCCACCTACCCTCTGATACTTCAATGCTGATAGCGCGCGCCAACGTACCAGCTGCGCACTACCAGAGGAGTCAGCCTAGCTCGCGTCTGCAGCACTCCGACGGGGGAGAAGAACTCACGTTTTCGGGCATCTCGATGATGGTGCCTTCAACTCCGCGTTCCATGAGTTGGAAGCAGCCCTTGATGTCGCTGCTGAAACACGCAACTCTTGCTTGTTGCGGCTTATCATGGGCCTGGTCCCGCTTCTGGACCGGACAATCAAGGAACACGAGAGGCTCCGGTCCATCCTCTCGCTTTTTCAACGAAGCAACTGCGTAAGAGTCACCCGTGACGAGCATAAAGCCGAATCCAGTCTTTGCAGGATCCGTCTCTCCCGAATTCGCGTTGGAACCGAAGTTCACTAGACCATAGCTAGCCGGATCGTCCTCGGAGGGTAGAAGGTCAGCAGGGAACAGCCTGTCCAAGTCGACCATGGTGAATTTGGTGTTGGTTCCGCCAATCTTGTTGGAACTGGAGATGGCCCTGAGGGCGTCAAGATTTCCTGTGTCCAAGTCGATGGCCCAAATCATGACTCCTGCGAGGCCCATACTGTTGGCGTAGTCGATCTTGGCTTGGAACGTGGTCACATCGTCAAAGCTGAGCACGCATCAGCCATCGAGTTCAACTTGTTAGGTGGGTGACTTACGAGATCCAGCTGTTATCCGCGTAAACCAGATACTTTGCCGCGGCAGCCTCATCATGATAAGCAGTAGCCCCGGTGCTTTGGAGGATGTCCATGATCTCTGTTCACGCCGTGGGTTAGCGACGCCTTTCTGTGTGGTTTGCAAGCATACCGCTGTAGGATAGGATGCCGGCTGTGTTGGAACAACGACCAGCAGCCCCAGGGCCCTTGAACGCGCAGCCAGGCTTCCAGCAAGAGGCAGATTCAAGCTCGAAGGATCGGCCGTAAAACCCTAGCCCAAGCACGACGCTTGAGGGTTGGATGTCAACCCGCCAGAACTAAAGAGATTTGGTCAGCTTTGCAAGCCCCAGAGACTTTGATTGTGTCATCTCACCAAGTCTAGTGCGTGGTCAATCTCTGTAAGGTTAGTATGGGCGAGAACTTGATTCCCTATGGGGTTTGAGCTGTCCCACACGCCGTGTAGGTCGTAGGACATGAGGTTGATCCAGTCCACATGGGCCTCCATTCCCTTGAGATCAAAGTGACGAAGATACCAGTATGAGGAAGGAGCAGTGAAAGTCACGATGTAGTCTTTGCCACTTGCGTTGATGGCTTCGCGGAGTTCCTTGAGCAGTGCTGTGTAGTTCTCGCCATCGCCCTCCGAGCCACCGCGGTCGTCGGCTCCCGGGTACTCCCAATCCGTGGAGGCGTTAGTTTCATTGACCCGAATAAGTTATGTCTCCGAAGGGCCCCCAAACGACCGATTGAGACGATACGAATTTGCACTTACCGAAGTCTAAAAGTTTTGTTAGCCATGTTTGCAACAAGCTGTCCAAGGGAGGTTACTTACCGACTCCATCATAGCCATACTCTGATAGGAAACCGATGAGGTTCTTGATGAATGTGGCCCGGTTCTCCGGAGTAGATGCTAGCGTGGGGAAAACCTTCTGCCACGGCCCGGGATCGCTGAAAGTCCAACCGCCAAGGGCAATGACAATTTTGAGACTGGGATTCCTGGCCTTAACATTACCTATAGACTTGTACAAGCCAGGATCGATGCCGTCCATGTTGGTGACCTGGAATGCGTCGTTGATGTATCCGAAGGAAACGAACAGATGAGTCAGGAGGTGCACTGGAATCTCACTGGGGCCCATGGTGCCGCAAGGCTTTTGCATGTTCCATGTTTCCCAGTAGCCAATGACTCTCTGCTGGACATCCGACGAGGAACCGCTAGGCTTGGGTTGTTCGCAGTTGGATTGACAGCCTTCTTTGCAGAAGTCGGTGGTAGTGCCGCAGAAGCCAAATTCGGAACAACAGACGTTCAGAGGGCATGTTTGGCCCGCGGTGGCGGCGAACTCGCCGCACTCGGCCTTGGCGTCGCAGTTGGACTGGCAGCCGTCACCACAGTACGTCGGGCTGTAGCCACACCATCCATCTTCACCGCAGCACGCACCATTGGAGCAAGGCTTGTCTGGACCGCAGGTATAGTCACCTTGGCCGGACGAGGCCAAGGTAGCTGTCAGCGTAGATTGGCGCGGGGAGACGTTACTGTCCGCGGACTTCCTAGAAAGATCACGAGCTGGGTGTCCATGAAGATGTCCATGGAGATGAGATCGGGCATGGCTGTGAGCGTGGACGTGGCCCGAAAAGAGAACAAGGCTGAAAAGAAAGAAGGACAGTAGAGTAGAGAGTGTGAAGCTGCATTTCCGTATGCGTAACATGATGATACAAGAGCCCGATACTGAGGGCGTAAAGAACGACGGGACAAGATTAATTCTCTTGAATGACAGGCACGTCTCGAGATCAAATGGTGAGGGGACCGAAATCATTTACAAGATTGATAATGTCACGTATCCCTGTGTCTCTGTGCTGCGGTGAGGGCAGCTTGGACTCGTCACCTCCTAATCACACAACCCGCACCTATCCTCTTCTCGACCCTGTCGACACGCTGGGTACGGAAACCCCTTCGCGATTCCCCTTGCTCAAAAGTAAGCATACCGGACGTTTCCGCGCCGAAGTACGATGAACCCTGATTATTCGTACAATGGAGACGTGTGTCAGTTGGTAGAGACTCATCTTACCAACTAGAGACATGTCCGTCCCTTGTTCATGCGCAACGCCGCTGGAAGCGCTGAATTTGAACCAACACAAAGTTGCATTGCATGTTGGTGTTGGGCCAAGGGTGTCGTCGAGCCAAGAAGCCGACTACGACCTAGCACCAACACAGATTAACATTGACATGGGTTTGCAGCTCTCAGGCGGGTGTGCCTGGCGCATCGGAAATTGTTAGACCCAGTGCCACTATGTATGTCTGCCTTAGTTGTGGGTCCGAACCCATCAAATCTTGAGTTTCCTCGTAGGCTAAGACGGGTTGGACCAAGCCGTGCTGCGTCGGCCCGTATGCCCTAGTCGTTGATTCCCATGGCGGGGTTCAATGTTATCTCATGCAGGAGATCCCTCTCGCGTTCTCAAAACGTGCGAGGACTCGTTGGCATTCCAGCATTTCAGATGGACAGAGCACACGATCAGCTTTCCGGAAGCATGCCGCGGATCCACTGGGTCGTTGGCATCCGATATCTTCCCGGAGATTAGATGTGTCGGTCTACGGATACAGACCTAATATGGCCAGGACTGGTTCACAGGACCCCGGACGAGGCTGGTCCCGGACAACTTGAGTTTCTCTGCTATATGCACCGCGTCCAACCAAGGAGTGGAAAGGCAGTACGCCTCAACCAGCAGTGTCGTCCTTTTGCCTCCATCTCTTCCATGATGATCTTCATTGTAGGATACATTCAGTTTCTTCTTGCGCTGGCTCTGGCCTCGCCGTCAGACGTAGGACCCCGAGCCGTGACTGGAGGCTGTGAAGCCTATTCAGTTCAGGCCGGCGACACTTGTGCGAGCATTGCGACGAGCACCAATGCCACTTATGCCCAAATAATCTCGTGGAACCCGGATATCACTCTCGAGTGCTCGTAAGTCTCTGCCGTTCCATCTTCCATGGCTCAAGTGCATCGATGTTTTAGACGGAAGCATGTGCTCATCGCCGCTGATGTTAGCAACCTGGCCGAGCTTGAAGGAGATGAGATTTGCGTCAGTAACCCCCTCGGGAACTACGCACTGCCGAGCAATTCGCAGGGAGTCACCACCATAGTGACGACGACGGCGTGAGTCAACTGCACTTTTGGTCAATGTTTCCAAAGCCCGTTGGAAATGCTGACGAGAGGCGTGCCAATCTCAAAGCCCTGCCCCAACGCCGACGCCAGACAACACGAACTCCAACTGCGCAGAATATCACCTTGTAGAAACAGGAGAGGACTGTTCTGCATTCACAACCAAGTTCAGCATCACGCTGAAGGATTTGTGAGATTTGTCCTTCCTGCGCGCCTTTCAAGCTATGGACTGGCAACTGACAAGATTTCTCTCTCCAAGTTTGTTCCTCAACCCTCAAGTCTGGGAAAACTGCACCAATGTTTGGGCCGACTATTATTACTGTGTCAGACCCGTTGGCTACATCTCGACGTACCCCGGGTACTTGCCGCCGACAACCACCAAAGAATTCATCCAAACACCTACTACCGACCTGCCTTACGTCGAAGACCTTTTCGCAGATTACGTCTCGAGCGAGCCCCTGATCGAGATTGCCAATGGCACTCGATTAGACTGCTTTGAGTAAGTCCCGTCTCGTTCGGTTGTGCTGTTGATCGAAAAGCCTGATATGCGTCGTAGATATATCTGGTTGGAAAATATCACGGATAACACCCTGGCCGATTGCTGGGGACTGTCTTGGTCGCGTGATGTGCCCTCACAGGTAAGTTTCTCGAGGCTGGTGTGGCTGGGCTACCTTTTTCACACTTTCGTAAAGAAGCTCCTCTGACAGCGGCGGACAGGACTTCATTTTATGGAATCCGTCTCTTCGTCAAGACCCCGCCGAGTCTGACGGCGCGGTCGCCTCATATGCATACCCATGCACTCTTTCGGCGAGCAGCTCTTATTGCGTTGCTTTGGCGTCCTCCACGGCCGGTAAGTTCTGCAAAAAAGGAATTCACAATCTCGACCCCGCAAGTGAATTGACGTGGCTGATTGGGATTGTCAAAATGCAGCGCCAGTCGAGACGGAAGCGCCTCCAAGCCCTCGTGCCGCGGGAGAAATCGCCAATTGCACGTCATGGTATGTGCCAAAGGACTCCGACACTTGCGAGAGCGTGCTCCGTCGGACACGCTTGACACTTGAGCAATTCCACACCTACAACCCTTCTGTCAAGAGCGACTGCAGCGGGATGGTGATCGGCACCTACTACTGCCGTTCGACGGAGATCTACGGCTGGTCCCCGGGTCTCACGACTTCCACTGAGGACGGATCCTCCGCCACAGCCACCACCGCGACCAGCACGCGGCCTACCGGAACCAGCATTGCGACGCCGACGCCGGTGCAGGACGGCATGGTCTCGAACTGTGGCAAGTTCTACAAGGTCGTCGGTGGCGACGGGTGTTGGGCGATCGCCGACTCGAACGGAATCGCCTTGGATGACTTTTACTCGTGGAATCCTGCGGTGAAGACCGACTGCACCGGGCTGCTGGCAGATGTATTCGTGTGCGTTGGTTTGGCAGCGTCTCCGACGGCGAATCCGACTCCTGCCACGACCACTGCCGCTGCCGGGGTTTCGACACCGACTCCGATCCAGGATGGCATGACCACGACCTGCTCCAAGTTCTACTTTGTTCAGTCAGGGGATGGATGTTGGGCTATCTCGGACGCGAATGGTATCGCGTTGGATGATTTCTATGCGTGGAACCCGGCTGTCAAAACGGACTGTACCGGACTCCAAGCGAACGTCTACGTTTGTATCGCGGTGGCGTAAGCCCTAGCAGACATACGTTATATGATCAGATTGGTTGGTATACTTTGATCTTACGACTAGAAAATGTGACTGCGAGTTCTTGGTATCAACCAAGGTAGTTCTCAATCTTCGCCCCACCCCTTCTGAATGCCCAATCTCATCAACTCTTCTCGTGTGGCGAAAGGGCGCTCGAATCTGGGCTCGAATACGTCCCTCACCGTGCCCACGCCTTCCAAAACCGTACGCATGCGCGGATCATCCGGATAAGGGTTTTCACCGCTGCCGTAAAGAAACTCCATGACCTCTTCATCCACGTGGATTCCTCGTCCGGGCAGTGTAAGCTTCCTATCATCTCGGATGATGACCCGGGGCTTCACGGATCGGCTTCGCCATCCGAGGTCATCGCGGAGACGAGAAAGTACGCTTCTGTATCCGCCACTGTCTTTCGCGAACCACAGAAAGCTGAGCTCCACCGAGCGGAGTGTATCAGGAAGCGCTCCGAGAAGGTCGAGAAGGTCGTTCTCTTTGACCAAGAATCGAGACAGCCCAAAATGTCGTAGGTGCGTCCATGCTTCGACAGGAAAGATGGAGCGTAGTGGTGTGAAGTGGTCGACGGGATTCTCCGGAGGCCAGGGTCGGGAAAAGCTGAGGTTCGTGACTTCATCGGTCTCCAGGGCGAAGGACTCCAAGTCGGCGGTCAGAAGTTGCTTCAAGCGACCGTTGCGAAAGGCAGCATAGTTCTGTTCGGCGTGCATGCCCACCATGATGCTAAGCTTGAGCATCGAGAAACCAGGTCTCCGGACTAGAGCAGCGAGGTTCTTGTACTCTTCAGATGGTTCTTGCGTTGTGAAAATCTCACATGTAAGTCCCGAATTGATCTGGTTGCCATCGATGACAACCTCTGGGACGGTTGCGTACTCTTGCTGGGCGAGAAGATGAGTGACAATACGGAAGCCGCGCCATTTGTCCTTGATGGCTTCATCTTCCCAGCTTTCGCAGGGGATTCTGGCTCCGAGTGGCGGCGTAGGCCAGCTGCGAGGAAGGGGGTAATTGAAGCCGTATGGGAATGCGCGGATCATCGGCGTAGGATACTGAGGGAAGAAGAGGATACCATGAGCGGCAGGCGTGATTGTAACTCTCCGTAGATTAGGAAACCGTTTCTCGGCCAGAGCCCATTGGAAGGCGGCACTGTCAGCCGCCGTAGCGAGAACGTCTTCCTGCTGACGGAGCAAGCTTCGATAGTAGTCATAAGCCACGTCAAGAGGGAGCTGGGCAGCAAGCTGTTGTGCGGTTTCGACGTGCTGCGGCAGCGTTTCGACGTCCCTTCCTCGCCATTTGCGCAGATAGTCTATGTTCTCCCGACATGCTGCAACGAACCACAAGGGAACGCCCTCTGGCACAGGCGTATCCTCGGAATCCGAGTCCTCGGCGTCGTATCCGTATCCACTGCGGTAACCTGATTCCTCCTCCAGGGCACTCATGAAGCGTGCATCGTCCCAGACAATCTCACGAACGTCATGGCGAAAGGTATCATGGTTGGCAATGTTCCTGAAGACTTGGATATTGTGGTTGCTTGCCGAAATAAAAACCCGCTTGAAGCTGAGGTGAGGGGTGACGACTTTGGAAAACCGTCGAGAGGCCAAGCGCAGTTTCTTGAGGTCGGAATTGGGCAGATGCGCGAAGATGGCCCCGGAAAGCTCTGCTGGAAGACCAGCGAGAAATTCCACGATGGAGCCCGGTTCCGCCGGGGTTGAATCTTGGCGAGGAGTTGCCATTGGAGGCTGCGAAGACAAGACAAACGGTGGGGAAGGAGAGAGATGTTTCTGTGTTGGTCGCCGAGAGTGCAGCCATTTTCATGTTTAAATAATACGGGATCCAACGTCTGTACCCTGGTAGGCGCGGTAGCTGCTGCAGGGATCTTTGGTGGGCTCGACAATGACAACGTCCTCCAGCTCTTATCTTATCGATAAGCCCCAAGCTTGGGGAGGGGAGGCTCGTCACGTGGATAGCTCCATGCAGATTACAGAAGGATCTCCGAATCCCGGCCCCGATTTGTCATGCACTCCAGGTCCCGCCACAGGGGACGCCCGGCGAATGAGAAACCCAGATGGTGACTTCAACGACTTTTTTTCTGCTGCTCCATCTGGCGCTGATGCTGGCGCTGGCGCTGCCTCTGCCGAACGCTCCAGAGGGGGCGACTCAGGTTGGAGGGGCGGGCGGTGACACGAGGTTCCGGTGCTTTGGAATCGGAACATGACGCAACGTCTCTTGTATATAACTTCACTTTACAGATACTGCCCTCTCTCATTCTCCAATTACTGTCAATTACGTCCCTTTCAACCAAACAACCGCGTCAATTTCCTGCGAAACAACCAAAACACAACTCCTCGCATCAAACACCCCCGTCGCCATACCCCCCAAAAATCACGACCTGGATCCCAGACCCCGAAACCCCACCGCGCAGCTCCAGCAGCTCCAACGCCGCCCCTCACCACCACCACCCTGCGCACCACTCTCGCCCTCGCCCTCCTCTTCTTCGCAATCTTCCTCTCGTCCACAATGCCCTTCTCCTTCCTCACCCGCTTCACCCGCCCCTTCACAACCACCACAATATCCCTCGCCGCCAACTCCTCCACTGGCGCCGCCCTCCCGCCCGGCGCCCAAAAGGCCACCATCGCCGCCGGCTGCTTCTGGGGCGTCGAGCACCTCTACCGCAAGCACTTCGACTCCAAGGGCCTCATCGACGCCCGCGTCGGCTATATCGGCGGCGACCTCTCCAACCCGACCTACCGCGCCGCCTGCGGCGGCGACACCAGCCACGCTGAGGCCCTGCAGGTCGTCTACAACCCGTCCTAGGTCTCCTACCGCGCCCTCCTCGAGTTCTTCTACCGCATACACGACCCCACCACCGCGAACCGCCAGGGCCCCGACACCAGCCCGCAGTACCGCAGCGCCATCTTCTGGCACGACGAGGAGCAGCGCAAGACCGCTGAGGAGGTCACGAAGCTGGCGAACAAGCAGTGGTACAAGGGCAAGATCGTGACGGAGGTTATCCCTGCGGGACAGTGGTGGGACGCGGAGCAGTATCACCAGCTGTACCTGCACAACAACCCTTCGGGTTACGAGTGCCCGAGTCACTTTTTGAGGACGTTCCCTGATTTGCAGGGGTGACTGGCGAGGGATGAGGGGAAGAGCAGGTTGTAATGATAGAGAGACGGGAGCGATCGTTGGGATTGGGATGGGAATTGGGTCTTTCTTTTAACATATGGATCATGATATCAAGATGGGGATCAGATGGGATGGCATGGCTGGGTTCTGCCGAAGCGGGACTGGCTAGGGATATGATAGCGTTCAACCGCTTTATTAACAATGATTTTCTTACAATGAGCTTTGCTTGAAAGTATGGACTTTCGAGTTTACATCTCTGTGCGGGAAAAAAATGCTCTGTGAGGCAATACTCAAACAATAGTAAGCATCTGTTCTTGTCCAAAGTTGTTAAAAACTGTGTCGCGCCATTCAGCAAACCATGCCGTAGCGTCATCCTTATCCATTGTAGTCATGGGACCTCTAGCAAGCGCATCCGGTACCTTGCGTTGAAACGCTAATTGCACAATGCCTACTCTCGAAAAGGTAGCCGTATCCTTCGATGAATGCTCGACCAGGTTGGTCGCCGTGACTTCTTTGGTTTCTCGGCAGAGAACGAGACCAAGCAAACCCCACCACCTGTTGCCAGCTCCATGTAGAGATAGTGGCTGAACATACTAATGCAGGTGTGAAGTTGCATTTCATTCTGCGCGTGAACTCGCAGTAATCTGAATAGCCTGCTAATAACCGTCCATCTGAGAGCAAAGTGGCAATCGCTTCACAGTGCGTGGTCCATGCTATTCAAGTGGTCCTTTAGTGAGCTAAGACGGTTGCATACCTTGCTGCATCTGAGTTTAGAGCATCGAAACGGTTGTAGGTGAGAGTCGAGCATTTTCCTGATTAAGTTGTTAGGGCTCGATCAAACATTTAATAAAGCTGCCTTACTAGAATTCACCCTTTCTTTTGGTTGCTTAGTGATTGTTACAGTTAAATTCCCGAGGATAGTGGTAAAGACTGTTGCCGTCAGGAGAACACTGATACCTAATGTTGGTTCGGAAGGTCTGAAGAGACAGCTGAGTTTTGCGTGGCTTCTTATATCATGCTGAAAGCTGCATAGGTGTAAAGTAAGCGTAGAACCTGCGATTTATATATAAACTCACTTGTCTTATTATGGACGACTGGACTAGCGCACTTATTTTCATAGTTGCTGCATCAACAACGTCTGCAGCACTATATCCGTCATTTTCATCAGAATGAGGAGTTTGCTATATGCTGTGATATACAGCTTTAAGAGAGTGAAGATCTTAATTGATATCACTAACCACAGCTAAAGTGCTCTGGTTTGCATCTTCTGAGTGGTGACTACCGCTAGATCTAAGGCTTTCAAGTTTATCAGCTGCATGCTACATGCAGAAGAATATTATACCTAGAGGTTGTAAAAGCTCACCTGAGACCTTGTGAACTAGCGAAGGGTGAGCCAGCTGCGCCACTGACCGAAGCGTTGCTTGCTAACTGTATAAAGTCAAGTGCTTCTTCTAATTTCAGGCTGTGTACTAGCACTCTCGACCAAATAGCATCACCCTTGTCGAATGGGATGAAGGCGATAGCCTTATTGACTAGGTCTAGATGTGAAAAACAGAACCTATACCTCCACAACATGCTGGAGCCTCCCAAGAGCCTTATGTATCCTAAGACCTTCTGGGAAGGCTCCTGCCTGACGCCTACTTTATTTAGACGTCTGTTAAAGGTTATAGTGGCTATTAAATAGCTTAGGTTAACAAAATTTAGGTAAACGTCGGCGAAACACAGCTAATTAGTGAGAAACTGGACAGAGCTATCTCGCTTTGTTAGCGAAGATTCTAGCAAAAAGATAAGACATAAACTCACGTGCGACTATGCTGGGTTTCAAAGCTAAATAGCCCAGCATACTCTGTCCAGGAAAGCTCCCAGATGGCTTGTAAGAAAATTTGGTCGCCAGTCGCCTATGCGGCATAGCTTCCGCTGAAGATTCCCAGTTTGCTGGTGAATATGATGTAAAAGAGCTCAGTAGGTTCGGTTGAAAGCCAGCTGAGTCTGCCCACGCAGTATAACTGGTTGTGAGGAGAGCAAGTTATTATAACAATTCAAGAGAAAGACAGGACTTAAGCACGATAAACAGAAGAGCAGAGAAGATACTTAACCTATACGCTACACTGAAGAGCAGTGCTTCTTTTATATTTGAAAACTGTGACGAAAATATGGTTTCTAATCTGGTGCCTCTAAAACCCCAGAACAACAAATCTTTCAGCTGGCTGGGGCTGTACACCCTTTCAACTGCTTTCAGAAAGTTACTCCGACCCCCTTCACCTCGCCGACGGCATCCTATGTCTGCCCGGTCGATATGCTACTATTTTTGATCTAAAGCAGGTATGTCCTCATCCTAGGCATCTTCTGGCCACCGCGCGTTCTATCTGTCTCCGGTTTCCATCAGTGATTATTGTTAGAACAGGGCGAGTTCTCAATAGGTCGGGGGTCCTCAACATGACCTGAACACAGTCATATACATAGTATGCAAAGTCCGCTCTGATGGTGCTGGAAAACTGCCAACTAAACACTCCAGGTTTCAAGCGGCCCTATTCTGGCAAATAACTGAGTAAGGTAAGTATAATATCTATCAGGGTGGAAACTGAAGCCAACCAACAAGATATTGTTAACTATTATTCACTGCTTAGAGGCGTGAGATACTTTTCCTGTTAATAAATGAACCAGTCTGTGGAACGTCTCAATACGCTTTGCTGAGGAGGCGAACAGCAGCTTACTCGCTTGACAGACCAAAATCGAATTGCAAACGTAAGGAGTAAATTTATATCGGTGTAATTTCAATAGTTTTCACTCAGTTTGCTCTTCCTTCCTAGAATAACTGCTTTACCGAGTGCTTATATTGCTGATATCTATTGAAGGTACTACAAGCCGCAAGTGTGTCATATATATAGAACATTTAACAGTATGTGATGGTTCACAGTAATATGACGTATAGGTTGACTTGAAACGCAATATTCCTTTGTAACTTGCACACGAGAAATTTATTACTCTTTGCTCGTCTAAAAGTCAAATAGTTTCGCAGTAGTGCTCTTTGCTGAAAGAAATAAGCGCGGTCGTTTGCATAGATTTAACGATGTTAGCAGCTCTCCTGCAACTTTGATAAGTTCTTAAGCCCTTCAAAGTGCCTAATATACTTGGAATCTATTTATGTAAACTCTTTCCAAATGATGGCCTCCTCAGGGAGTTCTCCGGCGGACCTCCCCTTGTTTACATATCCGCCAGAATCATCTGGGGTTCCCTCCTGCATCATATCTTCATCGCTAATATGCAACCTGCTCTCAAGAACGAAGGCCTGGCGGTCTTCTTTGCCTCTCTGAGTTTCTGCCTCCTTCGGCAGCCCTTCCTTTTTTAGTGAGTGGCTAAATATATCCTTTGGCTTAATATCGTTCTTACGTCGAACCCTTCTCTCAGCCTGCTACACCATCAGCTCGCTTGCAGCTCGTTTGCGAGATGACTTGGCACATAGGCTGAACCCCTGGGCTCCATTATTCTTCGCTGCAGCTTAGACCAAGCTCAGATTCTCCGTTCTCTCAGAGTTTAGCTCTTCGTCGTCCTTACGCATAACCATACCATTATCTTCTTGCTCGCGCTGCTTAGTGGCGAAAGGCCC